AATTTAATAATATAATAATAATAAAGTTTGTTATAATCAATGCAGTTACATTTTGCATTGTGATAATTACCATGAAATATCTATGAAAAAAAAAAAAAAAAAAATAGATATTATATTTATTTCTATTTAAAAATATAAATTTGTATTTAGAAATAATATTGTTATATTATTTATTTTGATAAAATAGAGTTAGTAATATATATTAATTAAATTTTTCACTTAAAAATAATAACAATTTTTATTAGAAATATTATATTTTGTAAATCGATGGAATAGAACCATCAAATGATCGTATTATATTTAAATTGAGGCCACCCTGTATGTATGTTGGATTACACACAATTTTGTCTCCTATGGCATAGAAAGTTTGACAGAAATATGGATAGATATATGTATTTATTTCTTTTCTTTTTTTTGAGGGGGGAAATAAGTTATATGAAAGAATAAGTGGTAAAATACATAAACACAAATATATGAGAAATAGATAGGATAGGAAATAGCAATCTAAAGTAGAGATAGTAGTAGTATTTTCTCTGTGTGGCAAACTATGTGGAATAAATTCTAGGAATATATGTAAATCTGTCGTGCTTTTAGATTTCTCTCTCTTTCTGTCTACATCTCACTATTATTATATCTTAAACCTTCTCTCTCTCTCTCTCTCTCTCTCTCTCTCTCTCTATTCTTTCCAAATATCTTTCCATATGTATGACCAGATGCTAGCAAACCTAACATTTCCTTCAAACATTTTATGACAAATCTTTCCTAAATTCTCTACCACACAATATAACACAACGATGAATTATAAAATACTTGTTTTTTTTTTTATATGCAAATAAAAATCATATTAATAATTACGATATAAATAATTGAAATAATTTCTATCAAATATTTACAAAAAAAAAAAGAAACAAAATTATACAAATTATTATTATTATCATCATCAATATAATTTTGCACTCGTTTTTAGATAAGAAGAAATAATTTTTTATTTACATAAATAAAAAACATTGAATCAAATAATTTTTGTTCTATTTTTCTTTAAATGTCTATTAAACAAATTTTATAATTAATATTGCAAATATTTTTCTTTAATATTATTTAAATTTTACATAATATAATAAGATGTTATATATTCAACTGGAATCATCTTTCAAATCCCATAACATATGCGAATATACAATTTTCTTACGAAATACGATGGCGACCAAAATGTTCACAGTAGAAAATCGAAGAAAGGAAAATAGACATTCGTAAATCCTATTTACATGTTAGCCAATGGTTATTGGAAATCAAGTATTACATTTCTACTGATAAGGTAACTATAATAAAGTTCCAATAAGATTTTTCGACTTTTATTTGCGAGAAAATCCTTCTGATATTTAAAAACTATATAAATCATGGTTCGAAAGTCAGTTTAATTGCTACAGGTGGAAAGAAAAAAAGAAAGAAGGCAGGTGTGAGAGCTTCGAAGAGAATCTTTCACGTTAAGACACGGTAAAGTAGGTAAAACTTTAGAAAAAGTCCTTCTACCCTTCTTCTTCAAACGTCTTACTCGTTTTATTTTCTAAAAGAAAAAAAAAAAAAAATCAAAGAATCAAAATCTTTCTTTTTTACTTTGTCAAACCATTCCATCCTCATATTTTTAATTTTTTTTTTTTTATTATTAATCGATCGATAAGCTATCTAAAGTTAAATTACATGAAAAATCTGATGAAAGGAAATAAAAAAAAAAACCCCTGTGAAATTAGCAAGTTTTTCCATGAAATTGGAATTAGAAATATGCGTGCACGTGTATACAGGTGTTAGTAGAGGGTTGATGAAGAGCATGCAAGGGGGAGGGGTAAGAGTGTCAGGAAAAGGGGTTGGATGATGTCAAGATTAAAGCTAGCTAGGTTTATCTCTCGATCAAGTGGTGTTCACTGAAAATGAAGCTAAAGCTGTAAAGAATGATGCTTTCGTACAGTGAGTTTAGTCGATAAGCTAAACCACCACATGCTTGACTTTAAACCATGGCTTACGGCACCTTCGAGTGGTTTTAACCCCCGTACGAAAATTACCCATCCTGTATTATTATACTGTTCTCTCTCTGTTGCGAAAGTGAAATTAATCGTCTTTAGTTAACCATTACTCGTGACATGATTAAATACTCGATTTAGATCAATTCATTCACCATGGGTTTACGGGTTACTTAAATACTTCATATTTAACTTTATCTATGAGGTATATTGATGGTTTTTTTTTTTTTTGTTAAAAATATTTTCATAATTTGTGTGTGTGTGTGTGTGGTTTCTTTTGATACTTGTTTAATCTTATCTTCTTATCTTAATATATATATAAATTAGGTGTCACGTTGTTTGTTCGCAATTGACTTCTAAACTACTGAACCGATTTTCATCAAATTTTGTACACTGTATGCAGTTTCATTCAACTTCAAAGATAGGATAGTTTATATATTTTTTGTTAAATGTTTTGCAATAAATTATAGAACTAATATTGTTATTAGATTAACAGTGTGTGCATAGAAATATCTAAAACAGGTGGTAGTTATTATTATAAATAAATATAATAAATATTTGTATTATAATAATTTTATTTAAAATATAATTAAAATATATATCTTATTAGTAAATTAAGATTACTTAATATATTTGATATAATATTTGTTATAATTTTGTTTAATTTATGATTGCTAATTTATTTATGTATTTTTTTATTTTAAACATTTTTCACAATGTTTTACCACATCGTTTTAGCTACTTAAAAAAAAAAAAAACTAAGAAATTAATTATCTGATAGATAGTTATGAGACATTTTGTTACATTAGAATTGGTAACTCTTGAGACACACTATATATTCTACTTATACATCTGTGCATATACTAAATGGTTACGTACCAAACCATTTGGTTTGTTTGAAAGCTTATTCTTCGAATGTAAGTTTTACCCTGCCACATAGAAATTTCGACTTTCTTCTTAAAGTCATTAATTATTTTCAAGGAGAAATGGAAGATATTTCACTAAAAGTCGAGAATAACTTGGACGACTGTAGAAATATTCGTCGAATTATACGAATACGATTTACGTTGACTAGGTCAAGGACAAGATTATTTCAAACAATTTCATTTACAATGAAGATTTCTCGTGGTTTAATCTTGAGATCAGTTGTTAGTTAATCTGTTGTTGTTATTGTTGTTAGTATGATAAGTTAGTTAGAAAATAATAATTGGTGTCTTGAGTACAATTAAACATTAGCCATAAATCCAAGGTGTCCGTATGTGATATAACCTTTGTAAAAGGATCTGTAGGTTTCAATGATATGGGTTTGCTACTGTTCGTAGACACACACATACACACAAACAATGAGTTTCGGGAAATACTGGTATAGCATTCAAGACGAAACCGCTTAATTTCGAGTTTGTTTCCCCCTTTCCATCTCAGCCACAAGGTACTTACGAGCCTTACCTCAAAACGTCTCGACGTACACAGGACGCACGTTAAACAGAAACGTAACATTATCTCGAAACAGCTTTGAAGTGGCTCACGGACCTTTACTCTTCACCTAGGTTTCTCTCTCTGTCTCTCTCTCTCTCTCTCTCTCAGGTTTCCCCATTATTTTCTCTACTTGCTATCTGTCTTCAAAAGAGAGTGAGAGAGATCAAGAGAAGGATCATGAACTATCATTTGAAATGAAATACAATGATTTAACATTGACATTGATTACTACTAAATTAATTAAAACTACTCAACTTTTAACTCAATTTTTAATAATTTCATATGCAAAAAATATATGTTGTATTTTTATTTCATTGTAAATAATTCATATATAATAACTATTATATTTAAATAATTAAATAACTAATATATAATAAATAAAAAAATTCCTAAATTAAAAAAGATACTTCGACAAAATAAAATAAATTTCAAATGATTTACCAAGGACTACACTACTTTTCGATAAAAGGATCATTCAAGTAAAAGATTTGTTCTTGAATCCTTGCCAAGTTCTGTTTCTGATTAATGTAGGTACACACAAGTTTTCACAGTTTTCTAAACCCATCATCCATTGAAACCATGCATTCGTTTTATCATACACTTCCTGTTGGATGGAAAAGTTTTGCTGGATATCAAGTAAATACCTATCTACATATTATACAAACACACTCATATATTTATATGTAAAATATAAAATAAAACAAGGATGATTAAAAAGTATAATCCACGAAGCAACGTAACTCCAACATTTATTACTTGTTTTCACATTTTGTTAGAAAAAGCATGCTGCTGCTGCTGTTTGCTAATAATCCATAATTATATTAAAAGAACTTTTATTATTCTGGCAAATAAATAATAAATTGGTCACGTTGCCATTAAAGAAGAATTGTATTATTTATTCTACGTGCTTTTGTATAATCTATCTAGTGTTAATTAATAATTATTTTCGATTGAATAGTTAACGATGTTAAAAGAGAGAGAAAATAGAATACTTGAGTGTGTGTGTGGCTTTCGTTGCACGTTTCCTTTGACACTTTATTGTATACACAAAGACAATTCGAATAAGGATAATTTCTAATATAATTGATCCTTTTTCTTTTTGGTTTTGAATTAAACCATTCAATTTTTCACTAATTGTTCAATAAAATTCTTTAATTAATCAACTCATCGTTAATTAGTCCAATGATTTTCTTGTTAACTCTTCTAAAATGTCTCAAATGGATAAACCAAATCAACCACGTGTTTGTTCGCATTAAAAGTACAATGAACTTTTAATAAATGAATAAATGAAAATATATTCAAGTGTTTAATATGGTAATTGTTTCTTTTTTTTTCTGTTTTAATTACAGTACACAGATTGGGAAAAGGTGAAGGATGGTTATGTCAATCAGAGGATGGTAGCAGACGTTGTTGGTGATTATTTCTTCATATGTCCATCGATACATTTTGCACAATTGTTTGCTGATCGTGGAATGAAGGTCTACTATTACTTTTTCACACAGGTATGTAAATCTTAATTTAAAACAAAATAATAATAATAATCTWTGAATAAGTACGAATAAGAATAAATTAAAATTAATCTTTGATTAACAACACATTTTTAAATAATTTATATAATAATATAATGTTAAACATCTGTTAGAATCTTATCGAACTAACAGAGATAATCAATGACTCTTTGTTAATAAACAAATAATTCGCAATAAATTGAGATATAAACTATCCTATCTTTCAAGTTGAATGAAACTGCATAACAGTGTGCAAAATTTGATTAAAATCGATTCAGTAATTTAGGAGTCCATTGCGGACAAACGTGACACGTAATATATTAAAGAAGATAATATAAATTTTAATTATATAAAAATAACATATAAATATAAATAAATATTATATTATATATTTTTATTTTTATTTTATTTTATATTATATAAATGATAAAATTAAACCATACTGTGTGTGTGTTTGTGTGTGAATTAAGTGAATTAAAAAACGAATGTCACAAAGAATAATACCAATAAAAATTTCAATCTTTCTCGTATCTACGAGCTTAACTCTCGTTGTCCTTGTTTCTCTTGTGCGTATTAAAAAAAAAAAAAAAAAAAAAAAAAAAAAAAAAGAAAAAAAAACTAGAAGAGAAATAGAGAATGAACAAACTCAAATGTTCGTATAACATAAGCAACAAAGATCGATATGACAAGCATTTATATTGCTCGGAACGAATACGTCGTGACATTTGAATGACCCGTTGGTACACTCCTCGTACGACACGACAAATGACACAGGGGGGTGTGGAGGCTTAGTAAGAGGGTTGTGTTAGAGGGGGGGGGCGGTGGGGTGGATAGTAGAATATGGTTGTAAGAAAACTGTGTAGAGATCCACATCGTTTGAAATTAATTTTAAAGAAGCTACCGTCTGCTGTCCCCGGTACCTACGGAGTTAGGATAGTATTGTTCAACGCGCTTTCACTGATGTTACACCAGTCTGACAAAGAAAGAAATAGAAAAATAGAGAAAGGTAGAGAGAGAGATAGAGATAGAGATAGAAACAAGCTTTATAACACAAGTGTACTATCATATCTATACTAACTCGAACTTTAAAGCTAAACGTTTGATACAAAAAGCTTCTTCTTTTCTGTCAATACTTTTGCTAAATAATCTTAGAAGATTTATCTAGTAGCAAATAAAGAAATATTTAAATAAATTAATACTGGAATTATATGAACCTATACCATCCATCACCTATACCAATACCATTTCAATAAATTCAATAAATAAGTATACGAGTACACTTTTATGTGTACATACACTTTATATTTGATTTAAATGGATTTCTGTTTAATATTCAAATGATGAAAAATTCCGGAACTTACACTTACACCTTTTGCAATCATTTGTTTTATGTTTTTTTTTTTAGGTTTCTATGATATATATGATATATTAAATAATGAATTAATAAGGTCGTTTTTAAAAAGATACGCGGCAAACATGAATTTGATGATATGAACTGGTTGGTTGTTTACGAGCAACATTAGCCCTGATGTTGACGCGTTTTTCCAGCAACGAGAAACGATGCACGCTCGGTTACGTGATTATCGGACTCGGTTATGAAGCTCGATAAATCATTTTTTTTTTTTCTTTTATTTTTTCTTTTTTTTTTTTATTCCTCAGCTCGAGATGCAAAAAAACCTTCTTGTAGATATTTTATATCGAAACGTATTATTATAGATATAACAAATAACAAATAAAAACATAATATCGTATAACAAGATTACAATAACAACATTTGAAATTAAATTCAATATAATTTATACCTAACAAAATGTCACGTGTCTAAAACGAGTAACCAATAAATTGGTTCTAAAGAATAAAATTAATAATAAAAAAAAAAAAAAGAAAAAGAATTACAATTAAATTAAGAATAAATCATCTAAGTATATATATGTGTGTGTGTGTGTGTGTGTTTAAGTGAATGCTGAAATATCTGATAGTTGTGAAATTAGAAAAAATAATTTGTCTGATCAGAAAATTTGAATTACCAATTAACAAAACAATTAAAATCATTCAAAATTGTGTAATATTATTAAAATGTTTAATGATGTTTAATTACGATGAAGTTGTAGAGATTTTTGTGTGTTTTTTTTTTTCTCTTTTTGTACAATAGTTGGCATATTTTTGTCTTTTTGTCTCTGTCTCTCTTATCATATCATTCCCGTTTGTTCAGTGCATGATAGCATGATGTTTTGGGATTTAGTAACAGGAATAGCAGCAGTTTTTTATCCGGGTGAGTTATTCGAGTGACGAATGTCGGCACACAACGTCAACGTACGTTACGATGATACTAACCTTCTGTTGTTATGAAAAGCCAGGTTTACTACTACGTGTGGACACTTGGATATACGTAAAAATATCAAACCATGAGAGAGAGAGAGAGAGAGAGAGAGAGAAAGAGAGAAAAGATGGATAGAACACAAATCTAACAATAGCAACAACAATTTATCGCAACAAGTATTGCGTGTGAACGAAAAAGTCAAGATTAAAGATATATATTATAATTAAACGTGATAATTAAACGCGATACTGATAAATATTAATTAAATATAATCAAAGAGTAAAAAGTGTGATATATAAATAAATAATTAAATGTGTATGAATAAAAAAAAAATAAAATAAAATAAAATAAAAGAAGAAAATAAATGATAAAATAAATCCTACTTTAAACGAACGTTTACACTCTGATTTATATTTTATTATTTACTTTATTTAAATGAACGTAGAAAATATTAAAAATTAAAATATATATGTATATATATAAAATGAATGATAAAGAATAAAATATTAAATGTACGACAAATCGTTCGAATAAATAAATAAATAAAATAATAATAAAAATATAAAAATACAAATGAACGAGACGAAGTTTTGCAAAATTTGAACTAACTAAAAGTATACATGAAATTAACAGGTACAATGTTTAAAATGTATTAACAATTTAAAATAAAAATAATTTAAATAAATGAAGAAAATGTAAATGAAAATGAGAAGAGAGAAAGAGAGAGAAAGAGAGAAAGTTGTAGTAAGAAGAAGATGAAAGAAGAAAATTGTACTTGTTGTTGGTTTCACAATGGGGTGTTGTACCGTTAAAGCGAACTTTATGAATATTCTGCGTTAGTAAAGAACTTTTGTAACTTTGTTTAAATTTTCAACGTTATTTTCCACACGAAAATTATCATTTATAGTTGACACTAGATAAAGAACCTGTGTATAGATTAACCTATCATATATTTATTTAATTTATTTTTTTTTATGTAAAATAATTATCCGGCTTCTTTCGTTTTTTTGTTCGCTTGTAGCCCCAATTACCGATCACCCTGTATATTTATACTAAATTATATAAATTTAAAACTCTTAGATAAATCTATATTATCCTTATTAAAAACTAAGTACTAGTACTAGTAATAATAGTACTACTAAGTACTAGTAATTAGTAAAGTATTAGTAATATATATATCTATTATAATAATTATTAAATATATTATATATATATATAAATATATAATATTTAAAAATAAAATTGAGGAACGTGTATAGTTGAGAGATAGTGATCTATAATACTTAAACTAGCTGGAGTAACTAACGTTACGATGCTCTCGAGCTTTAATTGGTTACCTCCGCTTTCATAGGGTCAACAACGTTTTTGAACATGCGCGCTTACATCTGCTTATCAGGATGACATCATTCTCTTCTTGTTTTCCTTTAGGTAATCTATGTACATGTATATATATGTGGGGATATACGTATACGTGAGATACATATGTGTATATTATCGAATACGCGTATTATCATTGTATTTCAAGGAACATATTCTATGATCGAGCAAATTACTCTGAAACAAAGTAATCACGGTACGTTTACTTGATGTAATTAATTATATCGACAAAGGAATGATATAGAAGCATACTGCTAACTCTCTTTCCCCTTTCTCTTTATTAAGAGAATAACTAAACTTCCTATATCTACTTTAATATTCTATAATTGAAACCTACTGACTCGAAAAAAAATACCTACACTTCATTGAATAATATCAAAGATCTATTCTTTTTATACCTATGTTTTTTTTTCTTTTTTTCTTTTTTTTTTATCATCAGAAATCTAAATTCTTTATTGCAATGTCATTAATTATAGTTTTAAAAAAAGGAAATTTTGCCATATTTTGTTAAATATATAAATTAAATGAAAAATCAACTAAATAACTTTGATAAAAAAAAATTAATACCTTTATTCGCACTATATTTAGTTGTACTTTGAGATAAAAATCATCAAGAGTAAACCATATATCAAATCTCAAATATATCTAAGAATCAGTTTTTTAATTGAAATTAAAAAAAAAAAGAAAAAAAAAACCTATGAATGAAAAAGGTTAAATGTTATCTCTCTCTGGGATTGTAAATCAAAGATAGAAAATAATTTCACGTTTGGATTTCTGTAATACATCGTTGAAATATACCACCCTCAACCATATTTCCATTGGATACGTGTTACCTTGATGAGATTCGTCGTTATGGTAGTTTTAAGAAAGAAAGAAAGAGATAGAAATATATATATATGTATGTATATACATGTATGGAAAGGTTGAATGAACAGGTGAATTTGTAGTTGTTCGGTAAAGCTTTTTCACATGGACGATGTGTGATCGATAGACTTACTCGAGTGTGTTTTTCTCATTGCAACGGCATTTCCACTTTGTTACATTTCTTTTTCTTTCATTCAACGTTGTGTTGTTAGTAGTACCCAGTCATCTACGTTATCGTCTCTATTTCCTTTTTTCTTCTTTTCTATTTTGTATTTCTGTCTCTTTATCTTCCTTTTCTATTTTTTTTTTGTAAACATTGTGAACGTGAAAGAAATAAGAAATTATTTGAAAAATGAAACCCCCTAAAGTATCATTTTAAAAAGGTACAATATTTTTTGTTACAAATCTCACCTAAAATGAAAACTATTAATTA